GCCTTCTCGAACCTCTGGGCACACGTTCTCATGGGCGAATCACCCAGCAAAAATCCGCGCTGGGACCCCCCCACCAACCCGCTAACAGCGCCAGCCTCCACGAGCCTCTGGGCACGGGTTCTAATAGGGGCCAGTCACCCAGCAAAAATCGCGCCCGGACCCCCCCACCACCCCTAACACCGCCAGCCTCCTCGAGCCTCTGGGCACAGGTTCTGACGAGCCAGTTACCCAGCAATAACTGCGCCGGGACCTCCCCACCACCCCCAGCACCGCCAGCCTCCACGAGCCTCTGGGCACAGGTTCGGAAAGGCCAATCACCCAACAAAAATCGCGCACGGCCAAAATCTCCAACAAAAATCGCGCCGGACCCCCCCACCACCCGTACCACCGCACGCCTCCTCGAGATTCTGGGCACAAGTTCTGACGCGCCAATTACCCAGCAAAAATCGCGCCGGGACCCCCCCACCACCCGTACCACCGCCTGCCTCCTCGAGCCTCTGGGCACAGGTTCTAAGGGGCCACCCACCTAGCAAAACTTGCGCCGGGACCCCCACCACCCCTAACACCGCCAGCCTTCTCGAGCCTCTGTGCACAGGTTCTCATGGGCAAGTCACCCAGCAAAAATCGCGCTGGGACCCCCCCAACACCTGATGTATCGATGCCTGCCCGCATGCAGCACCCCCATTCCTACACAGAAAAAAAACTTCCCGAGACTCCAGAAGGCTCCTCCGAGGCGCCCCAGACGCACGACACGTCCGGTATTAGCGCACGACGCGTGATGAACGTTGCAAGTACTTTCTCTGTCACTGGCACTTGGATTGACGATCGCGCGACTGCTTGCACACAGAAGATGAAGCAAACGAAACTCAATGGGGTTCTTTGGAGCCCGTGGGATTCCCAGCGCCGACCCCTGAAGCACTCCGACGTCTGAATATCTTCGGCTCCAGTACACCAATCACAACACGGCCCCGAAGGCGCGAAGCAGTAAACGCCGCCAAAAGCCCCGAACAACACCTCATCGAAATAGGCTACACCCTGAGCCGGCTCACACCAAGCCCTCCTTGGGGTCGGCGGCAGAGGCGGCAGCCTGAAGATATCCTGCGGATTGAACACGCCGAGGCAAGCGGTTTTCAGCATACCTGGGCAGACGGGCACAAATGTCGGGCCACGGGCCTATCAACCAGCAACTCGGGCGCGCTCTTGTGGCCGCGGCTGGACCCGCTTCAAAATCATTTCTGCCCCAGGGGGAGGGTGTCCTGGCGGACTCGATCGAATCGCCCCCGGTGCTTTCTTCCCCCATTCTCGGCGCTTGGGATCTGGTCCTGACAGAAGAGCGCCCTCGTGCTCAGACCTCCAACATCGTGGTGCTCTGAGCCCATCTCCCAAAAATGCGAGCTGGCACTCTCGATGTGCACTCTTGCTGGCACAAACACGGTGCAACCGATGTTTGTAATACATAAATATATATATATATGTATATATACACACATATGTATATATACATATATATATGGATTCCTCTTCATATGTTTTTCTTACCTGGACCCCCACCCCAACCCCCCTCTAAACCAGACCCCCCCCCCCAAGGATGCCCCGGACACCCTGTCGGACGTCTCGGCGGCCCCAAGGACGCCCTTGGAAAAGGTGCGCTGGCCCTTCCGGGCCCCCAAGGGCGTCTTGCCGGGCCTTGCGACCACAGTCAAAGCGAGCAGAAACGGTCATCGGAGAGGCGCAGGAAGAGACCCAAGACAGCACAAGAGCGCTCCAAGAGGAACCTCGCTGGTCCGAAGACGGCCCACGAAGCCCCCAAGACGCCCCAAGAGGCCGTTAAGAGAGCTCCGAAGAAGCAAAAGTCGTCCCATCCGTTTTTCTTTAACATATTCGTTTTCTTAACAGATTCGTTTTTCCGTCTTCGCAGCGTCCAAGACGGCCCGATGGGCCCCAGCTCCCCAAGACGGCCCAAAAAGGCCCCAGGACGGCCCAGGAGGGCCCCCAGACGGCCCCCCCCCAAAAACCCAAACGCCCAGACGGCGTTATCCGTGCGCTCGTCGTCGTCTCTGTGTGTTTGTGTGTGTGTGTGTGTGTGTGTGTGTGTGTGTGTGTGTGTGTGTGTGTGTGTGTGTGTGTGTGTGTGTGTGTGTGTGCGCGCTGTGTGTGTGTGTGTGTGTCTCTCTCTCTCTCTCCCCCTTCCCCCTGTGATATTTCGTCGACCTCCACGTTCGTGGCATCCGATGGCCATCCTCATTCCCCCGCTCCTTCCTCTGGACCGTCTCCCCGTTTCTCCCCCCCTCCTCCCCCCTTCCGCCTCTTCAGTCCCCCCCATCATCCCTGTTCCGTTCCCGTCCCCCGTTCATGGACAGGGGCCGTCGCAACAGTTTGATGATTCGTCGTTTGCCAGGACCTTCGCGCGTGAAAAAAAACATCATTCCTGCCCCACTCCTGCGCACATGCGTGCAAAGCATCGGGCGAGCGCAGCGTCAGCAAACACTAGGGATATCAGAAACATGAACCGATCGCCCGTCCAGGCCTCGAGGTCCCCCCTGCTGAAGCAAGCGATGATTTATTGATTTGCCGGGGAAACGTTCGGAACAAGGCGCATGGGGCGAAGCGCCCATGCAGTCTTGTGTATATATCAATATGTATATGCATGTTGTATATATGTGTACACATCTATATATATATATATATATATATATATAGATGTACTAGAAACATCGCGCGCGCTTTTCGCGCGCACTTAGATTCTGGCCGGTCGAGTGCTGACCGCATTGAGACAACAAGGTGGCCATGAATAATGAGGTCAACATTCTCTGTTTCCTCCAGCCTCTTCCACATTCCTCCTCCTCCGCTCTCATCTACTAGGTCGACCGGTGATCTGTCGCCGCGCTTTTTGGAGACCTCTTGACCCCTGCTGGAGTCTCCTAGGGCGAAGATCTCGGGTTCTCAATTCACGTTCCCGATAGTGGCCTTCGGCCCATCCCGCCACCGTGCCTGGGTTGTGGTTTAGAGGCCTCTTGGAAATTCGTTTGGAATTTGTGGGAGGCTTCCCGGGGGCCTCTTGAAGGCAGTTTTGGAAGCCTCATGGGGGCCGTTTGGGGTGCTCGTGGGGCGTCTTTTTGGGACCCGTTGGGGCCTCGTGGGGCCTCTTTGGCTCTATTGGGAGCCTCTTGGGGCCTCCTGGAGGCCTCTTGGGGCAGAAGGCTCGAATTGTCGATTCGTGTTCCCCCCCTTGGGCCCCTCTTGGGGCCGTCTTGGGGCCCTCTTGGGCGATCTTGGGCGCCTCTTGGGCCGTCTTGGGGCACTCTTCGGCCGTCATGGGACTCTCTCGCGCCGTCGTGGCGCCCTCTTTGGGTGCCTCTTGGGCCGTCTTGAGCTGATTTCTGGGGCCTCGTGGGCTGTCTTGGACCGTCGGTGGCACGAAACAGCGAGAACATGAAAAGCCTTTAAAACCCCTCCAACAAAAACATTCGTTCGCCTCCTGAATGCCTCGTGGGAGTCCTTTTGAGGGCATCTTGGCCGTCTTGAAGCCCTCCTGGGCCGTCTTCAAGACATGTTGGACCAGCTTTGAAAAGTTCTTGTGCGGTCTTGGGCTCTTTTGGAACGCTCCTGGGCCATCTTAGGGCCGGGCGAAAGGGGGGGTTAGCAAAGGGGAGGTTTGAGAATCAGCTCACGTAGCTGATTTTCCCGGCGCCTCCCGGCGCCGGGAGGCGCCCATGTATCGAGGAATGGGCCCGGCGGCGGAGCCGAAACCAGCTGCTTGCAGCAGATGTCGTAACCCCCCCTTTCCCAATCCCCCCCTGTCGTTCGGCCCGACATCTGGGCGTCCTCCTGGACGTCTCTCGGCCCCTTTGACGTTTTTAGGGCGCCCCCCGCCCAGCCCGAACGGACGGAAAACAAAATTCAGTGCACTTTGGGGGCTCCTGGACCCCCTACCCACATATATATATATATATAGACATACATATATATGCGTGTGTATGTATATATATATATATATATATGGATGGATGGATGGATGGATGGATGGATGGATGGATGGATGGATGGATGGATGGATGGATGGATGGGAAGGCCTCTTTCCGATCGCCACCGAGGTTGAAGTCAGGCTCAACTGTCATTGTATCTGTTAGCACTGCACTGTTAGTACACGCAGAGAGAACACATGATCAAACATACGTACACACAGTGCTGCACGGAAAAATCCCCTAAACTGTGTCAGCGAAGTGTGAAGCATGGAAGGGTGAAAAGGGTCGGTTAGGAAATCACCGAGAAACTTGAGCAACGGACGGTGTCGGACGGCAGCCCACCTCCATAAACAGCCACGTGCAAGTGCTGCCTATGTCTGCGGGGGGCTTCCTCCCGAAAACCCGAAGAGTTGAACTCAGGCTCAGCTGTCTGATATCCGTCAGCACTGCACTGTTAGTATGCGCAGAGATGACGCACGGTCCAGCATACGTACACACAGTACTGCAAGGAAGCATTCCCTACCCCAGACCTTGGTACTGGACGTGCGAAGCACGGCAATACCTATATACATACATACATACATACATACATACATACATACATACATACATACATACATACATACATACATACATACATACATACATACATACACACATACATACATACATACATGCATACATACATACATACATACATACATACATACACACATACATACATACATACATGCATACATACATACATACATACATACATAGATAGATAGATGCATGCATGCATGCATGCATACATACATACATACATACATACATACATACAAACATGCATGCATGCATGCATACATACATACACACATACATTCATACAAACATGCATACATACATACATACATACATACATACATACATATATATACTAGAACCACACGCGCGCTTCGCGCGCGCTTAGGTTCTGCCCTGGCACGAGCATCGGATGCGCCGCGGAGCGAATGAGGTTGGGAGCGGTTGCAGGAAAAGCTGTGGATAACTGGCTCACTGAGGAATGCCAGGCATATAATCCAGCCACTGGCCCTCGTAGACATCGGCCCTCTCGATGAGAAGGAGCAGTTGCAGCATGATGACGAACAGCTCGCGGCCAGAACGTGAATGGAACGACTGAGAAATCACCCTCGAGCATCGATCGTCGAGCGCCGATGAACCGTCGAACGCCGATGGACGACGGATGCGGCGTGGGCGAGGACGACAGAGAGGTCAACGACGACAGACGACAACAACGACTACGACGATGACAATGACTACGACGCAACCCTGCCCTGCGAGCCAGCACCGAGTAGCCGTGACCCCCCAAGCTAGCTCAATCGCCATAAACAAAAATTCAAAAAACAGATCTCGCAGGAGCCAGCACCGGGGTAGCCGTGACCCCTCAGGCTCGCGGCCAGAACGGGAATAGTACATCGAAGAAAACCCACCTCGAACCTCCATCGTCGACCCGATGACCGACGGATGCAACGTGAGCGACGCATGTGGGGTTGTCTGGTGACCCTCTAGGAGGCCTCTGGGACCGAGCCCGCGTGCACCGCCACTAAGCGGAGCCGACTGTCGGCTCGAGGAGTAGAATGAAAGCAAAAGGGTGAAAGATTCTCAGCCCTCCTGCTGTGGGCCTTCCTTCGTTTTGAACAGAGCGCTCTGGTCTCCAGTCCTCCCGCCTCCCTCCTCCTCTTCCCCCCTGTTCCTCTAATACTACACAACCAGGATACTATACGAGTATAGGCCTCACATATCCTTGTACGGCGCGTGTGGAACAAAGGGAAAGGCCCCCTGCGAAACCTAGTGTGCTGCCAGATGGCACGAACGGGCCCCACCCCAGCTCTGCAGCCGCGAATGGGTCTGTGGGGCTCCCTGAGCGGCAATCACTACAATTGGATGTGGGGAATCAGCTCCTGTAGTCACTGATCTACTTACTCTGCTACCACAGTACTGCTGGTACCTCGGGCTGGCCCGAGCATCCACAACCAGCAGTATGGCAACCACGGGCCCCCTCGAGCTCCCAATGGGACCCCATCCAAGCTCTTATGGCGGCCCCACCTGTGACAGCAGTGGTCTTCGATTAGTGCATCTACCAAGACCACGATCCCACTACCATCAGCAAGGCTCCCACGAGGCTCTTGGGCATCCGACACCCTGGGCTCTATCAGAGGTTCCACGACCGTTGTTCCCACCCAAGGGACACCTATCAGAATCTCTGAGGCAAACCTCAAGACGGTGCCTTCAAAACCAGTTCTTAGAAACCTACCTGCCACGGATGTGTCAGGGACTTGCAGAGTCTATTTGCGAATCATTCGCCGCATGTTTGTCATGAACCAGATGCTGAGGAGAGACAGACTGTGACGACAGAAACCCACTCTCATCAATTGACGAAATGTTGGCAAGACCATATGCCTGTTATGTACGCGACGTGGATCACAATTTCTCAGAGGCGCCCGATTTTTGCCCCAGCCAGAAATAACAACATAATCAAACGTGCCGATCCTGATATCGCCAGATCCGTGGACCCCTTTTCCGAGGACGGACGGTATCCCTCTTGTGATCCTACTCCTGCTCCGACTCCCGCTATTGAGGGCTCCCTTCTTTCGCCCTAGCCCCCTGGAGGCCTCCAACGAAAAAGAAGATGTTGGACCCTGATATGTCCTAGCGGTGGGGATCGGGGCCCGGGGGGCGTATACACACAAACCAATACATGGGGAGAAAGCACGAGCATGGCCCGTGGGATCTGTTTGCCGTGCACCTGTGACATGCATCTTGGGAGCCCTTTGGGGGCTTCTGGCAGCGTCTTGGGGGCCTCCCGGGCGCTTCTTGGAGCCTCCTGGGGGCTTTGGGGGGCCGAAGGCTCGAAAAGTCCGTTCGGATTCCCTGTCTGGGCCCCTTCTTAGAACCTTCTTGGGGCTATCTTGGACCGTCTTGGAGGCCTCTTAGGCTGCTTGGGTCCCTCTCGGGCTGTCTTGGGGCCGTCTTGGGAGCCTCTTGGGCTGTCTTTGGGCGATCTCGGGAGCCTCTTCTGCTATCTTGGAGCGTCGGGAAGCAAAAGGTGAGAACCACCAAATATTCACAAACACCATAGGACAACAACCATTTGTTGCCTCTTGTGGCCCTCTTGAAAAAAGCCTCTTGGAGGCCTCTTGGGTCGTCTAGGAAGCCTCTTGGGCCGTCTAGGGACTATCTTAAGCGTCTTAGACCGATCTTGTGGCGTCTCGGAGCTCTCATGGACATCTTGGGTGCTTCCTGGGGCCGTCTTGGAGGCCTCCTGGAGGCCTGCTTGGCCTTCTGGAGGCCCCTTGGAGGCGCCAGGGCGGGGGTATTAAAAAAGGGGGCCCGATGGTTTTGAGGTGGGCGGGCCCCCCGAGCTGGGGACATGGTATTCATCCATATTATATAAGTACATACATACACATACATACATACATACATACATACATGCATGCATACATACATACATACATACAGACATACATACATACCTGCATGCATATATGCACAAACATTCATACATACATACATACATACATACATACATGCATGCATGCATGCATGCATGCACACATACACACATACATACATATATACATACATATATACATACATACATACATACATACATACATACATACATACATACATACATACATACACACATACATACATGCATGCATACATATATACATACATACATGCACACATGCACACATACATACACACATACATACATACATACATACATACATACATACATACATGCATGCATACATACATACATACATACATACATACATACATACATACATACACACATACACATATGCATACATACATACGTGTATACATACATACATGCAGACACACACATACATAAATACATCCATACATACATATCCGGCGGCCCTCTTACGGGGCCACCAGGCTGTGAGGGTAAGTGTTGCAGTGCCCTGCGCCAGTGCCAGTTCACAATCTCCAATTTGATAACTCTACTTTCTGCTTCCTACTGTAAATTGTGACTGTCCGCGCGAGGGGTGGAAGCCGAAAACTACCCTGGCTACCCTCCCCGAGGAGGGTTCTCAAAATTTCCTGGGGGTCGTGGGACACGTAAAAACAAACGAGATCTGCACATCCGAGGCCAGAAGCCCTTCGCAAAATGCAGTGGGTTCGCGCTGCCGAGGCCAACACCCCGTACACTTTGTATAATACTAGCGCTGCCGAAGACACAATCCCTCGCACACTGCGCCATACTCGCGCTGTCGTGGCCACAATCCCTTGCGACCTGCGGTAGGTTCGCATTGCCGAAACCACGATCCCCCGCACATTGGACCAAATTCGCGCAGCTGGGGCCACAACCCCTTGCAAGTTGCATCATGTCCGCGCTGCCGAGGCCACAATCCCTAGCAAGTTGCACCGCATGCGCGCTGCAGAGGCAGTCCCTTGCTAATGCGCGCACGCTCGCGCTACAATCCCTTGCGCATTCGGCCATGGTGGCGCTGCCGAGGCCACAATCCCTTGCAATTTGCACGATGTTCGCTGCTGGGGCCACAATCCCTTGCAAACTGCACAGTGCTCGCGCTGCCGAGGCCACACTCCCTCACGAATTGCAATCGACTCGCGCTGCCGAGGCCACGGTCCTTCGCACATTGCGCCATGTTCGCGCTGCTGGGGCCACATTCCCTTGCACATTGCATCATATCCGCGCTGCCGAAACCACAATCCCTTACAACTTGCACCGTGTGCGCGCTGCCCAGGCCACAATCCCTTGCAAATTGCGCCATGCTCGCGCTGCCGGGGCAACAATCCGAACGAATTGCTGTAGATTCGCGATGTCGAGGCCACAATCCCGATCAAATTGCACCATATTCGCGTTGAAGAAGGTACAATTCTGGGCAAATTTCATCATCTTCGCGCTGCCGAGGCCACAATGCCGCACAAATTGCCCCATGCTCGCGCAGCCGAGGCTACAATCCCATGCAAATTGGCGCATACTCGCGCCGCCGAGGCTACAACCCCTTGCAAATTCGGCCATCCCTTACAAGTTGTACCATATTCGTGCTGCTGAGGCCACAATCCCTTGCAAATTGCGCCACACCCGCGCTGAAGAGGCCACAATCCCTGGCAAATTGCACCAGAATCGCCCTTGGATCCACAATCCTTTGCAAACTGCGCCGTATTCGCGTTGCCGAGGCCACAATCCGTAGTAA